ACTCTCTCTCTCTCTCTCTCTCTCTCTCTCTCGAGTGCTATCGTTCTTCGCGACAATGCAGCGCGTAGCACACGGAGAGAAGGAAGAGACAACGAGAGGAGGCGCGCGCGCGCGCGCACACCTGCCGAGAAAGAACCGCGTAAAAGCGCGGTGCCCGTGACGATCGCTTTAAAAGCGGCAGCCCGAGAGCAGACGATGAAAAAACTGACGGAGAGCGAAGGCAAGGGCGCTCTCTGGACCAGTACATACCTTATACACGGGGTTCAGGGCCCCTCGTCGCTTGCCAGTCATCGGTCCTTCCGACTGTAAAGCCGCTGTCGAGACTGGGTTTTGCAATAGACCCGTGGCTGTCGGAACGATGACAGCGTGAAACCGATGAAAAATCAACGTCTAACACGCGGTCTATCAATCGGCATGGCGGTCGTGCTCTCGAATCACGAAACCTCGCGCGGAAGGAACACTTTTGCGAATCTAAAAATTTCACCAGGCACGGATTCTGAAAATAATTTTGCTGGGTGTTCAAAATTTATTATGTACGACGTTCAAATTGGTTGCTAGAAGATAAAAAATTTTTGCAATATTTTCATGTTTAAGCGTCCTACACGGAAAAAAATTAGTCTTAAATCAAAATAAATATTTTCGTATAAGCAAGAATATTATAATCTTTTTAAAAATTTTTAATCTTGATTCGATCGAATTTGTATTGATGCAAGTATAGATATTCTCATATACAAGCTAGAATGTTATAATTTTTATATAAAAGATTTCTAATTTTGTGAGTTGAGCAAAAGTAATATTTATATCAATATAAATTCAATTAAATCAAGATTAAAATTTTTCTAAAAAGATCCTAATATTTTTGTTATATACATAGAAAAAATTAGTCTTATTATGATACGTGTAATACTCGTAAATATATTAATCTTTTTAAAGAAAATCTCAAAAGCCTCAAAAGTATCATTAAAAATTAATCTTAAATCGAGAAAAATATTTTCATAGATAAGCAAGAATATTAAAATCTTAAAAATTTTAATTCTGATTTGATTGAATTTGTATTTGTATGCAAGTATTACTTTTGCTCAACGCAAAATCAAAAATTTCTATATGAAGGTTATAATATCCTTATTTATATAAACTATATTTGCATCAATACAAATCAATTCAATCAAATAGAACTAAAATTTTTTTAAAAAGATTCCAATATTCATATCTACATATGAGAATACATAGTCTTAATTTAAGATTAATTTTTTCTGTGTATATAATAATTTTGATGCAACAAAATTATTTTCAGATATATATATATATTTAGTCAAATGTTTAGATTTGCCAGCAAAAGTGTCCTCTCTATACGCGATTTCGACACAACGGATATTTTTGTAAAATGCAGCGAAATCGTAATTATTTCTCTTTGTACATGATACTTGTCGATATATAATTCGCTTTGTGAATACAATCACACGAGTCATTGTTCGATTCCTGCCGGTACGTGGTCGTCACGAGAACACCGTCAAGGAATTTTAACGATTTGCAAGTAGCGCACACATACGCACAATGTCATACGTGTACGTGGCACAAGATGCTCGGCAAACACGCTCGTAATTTACTCCAATTTCCCTCGAAACGGCTATAAAAGTTACGTCGGTATGTCCGGTGGTGGCGCGATACTGATCACGATGCGGTACGTGCGATATACGAGGCACATGTTTTAATGAGAGATACAATTAGATATTAGTACACGAGAAACAAGCAACTTTAATTTGGATGATTAATATTGAACAACTTGATCATTTATCATTTGCAGCGTCATTCGCTTAACGGAATTAATAATAAGTAACAAGATCTTCGATGAATTTCATCTTCATATTCATTTTAAAGCCTTCGATTATTTATTAGCATTTCAAAATTTTATGAAGAGAAGGAAAGGCGGCCTTCGAAATGATTAAAAAAAGAAACCGTCGTTCGGAATATGCCTCGGGTATGCGTAAAACGAATAAACGTGAGGATTTTGTAAATAGCATGTGAGCGCATTGATCACCAAATCGTAAAACGAAATTGAATCAGCCGTTTCTCTTAAGCTGACCGGTTATACCGGCGTAACACGAGAGGACCACGTGCAGCATGTCGATCTCTCTGTTCTTACGATCCCGACCGCGGATGTGGACGTGCCTTCATCAAACATCTGCGTGTCCACGGCGGGGCCCAAAAACGGAAATGAAGAATCGGGGGCGAAGCGACGGCGCGTGAACGATGACGAACTACAGCTGGAATTCCGTTTAGCGCGATAAAATAATCGGGCGAATTGTGGTTTGCCAATACCGGATACGGAGAAGCAACTCCGAATAGAAATGGGC